ACCCACAGCTGGTGTCAGTACCAAAACATGACTCTACATACTACAGGGTCACCCACAGCAGGTGTCAGTACCAAAACATGACTTGGCATCACGTCACAGATTGATGTTCGTTTATGAACATATGGGGTTATGGTGATAAAGGTCTCACACATAACAGTTACATTTCCTGACTCAGACGGTAATCTTATGTATCAGAGGTATTAAAAAATGTGTGAATAATGTTTAGGTTTCCAATAAATTAGATGTGGTCACACAATGTATTTCAATTGAGATTGCAATCATAGCTTAGTGAAATAAGGATATAATGAAACGTTAATTATTTTTTTAATCAGTGTGCTTGCATAGGCCTACCTGTATGTTTATGCATGCACCACAGAACTGGAGGGGGTGAGGGTTCGACCTGAGTCAAGCATCATTAAGAATGTGATAAACAACCACAAAACTTACCTACAGATAACTTAATGCAAACTGATAAAACTTTATCAGTGAAAGCTGGAATTATATCCAGTTTGTTAAAACAGAAAGTTATGTCTGAGTTTTTCAGAAGCAGACTGAGAAGCAGACATGACTTGTTCATATGTGTTCCACGGTCCATTCGTATGTGTGTCTCCTGCTAGTTCACTTTCCTCCCATAGTTCAGACACACTTTAGATAATTTGGTGTGACTGTGTGCGCTTGGTGTCCTCTTCTTCCTGGCAAGTTCCAGGGTCACCATAAGTAATACATGGAAATGGAAGAATGTATAGATCATTTAAAAATGTTTCACGTTACAGTAGCAGATTTAACATTTCTTTACCACAGATAATTAATTGACATATAATAAATAAGTGACATTAAAGTCAGAATTCTGAGAAAAAAGTCAGAATTCAAATAATATTTTCATGGTGGCCCTAATCCTCTTCTGTAATACATACACGAAAATATTTGTTTATTAACTAGATTATTGATTTGATGTGATTTTTTTTGCATCTTACAGTATTTCCTGCCCATTCATCTTTCACTTGTTCATGCTGGTTCTGGTCACAGGGGCCCTGGAGTCTATCCCAGGCACCATAAGGCGCATGGCTGGGGGACACTCTGGACAGGATGCCCATCCATCACCGGGCACATGCATGCATACGCAGTCATACCTGATGGGCAATGAACCTCACTGCATGTCTGCGGGAGTTTGGGACTGTGGCAGGAGACCGGAGGACCCTGTGGAAACCTATACAACACATACAAGCTCCACAGATACACAGGTGGAGGTATGAGACCACAGTGGTACCGAATGAGCCTCCGCGCCTCCCGCAACAGGATGTTCTAACAGTAACTGACATGACTATCAAACATATCTGATGATCTTTTTCAATCTTTGCAGATACATGGCATCTATCAGTTAACAATAGAATCAGAAATCTGTCTTTAAAAAAACAACAGTGTAATAATGGTAATACTTAGCTGTCTACATACCAGGAGGAGCGACTTCCAACAGCAGCGTCAGCAGGTGTTTCGTGGCCCTGAAACCCAGACGTCACTGGAGTGGCTCCACGATGCAGCTGAGCAGTGATGTTGCTGTAGCAGGAAGACTGGGCTGATTAGAGCCCCTGTGGGGCCTCGGGAGTCAGCAGCAGCCTGGAGGAGCCCCAAAGGGAATATTTCACATCAGTGACCCTACAGTGACACTTTGAAGCTGCCCTTGTAATCTGGATATGTGCTCTCACTGAGAGAGAGAGAGAGAGAGAGAGAGAGAGAGATGTCAGCTTTTGTGCTTGAATGTGTGTGTGTGACAGCTTGCGTGTCTCCATTGTCAGCATGTGATCATGCACGTATGCAAGTGTACTGTGCATACATGTGAGTTTGTATGTGCGTGTTCTTGTCTTTGTGATGGAGTACAATGATCCCATCTGTCATTTTCTGCTGTACATTATGTAAACAAAAACTCCACTGTAATTCTAGAGGGATTCATGTTTCCATCTGCTGATCTGGGAGGTCAGGGGTGAAGACAGAGCACAACCCACTGAGCCAAGGTTCAGCAGAAAATGTTTATAACATACATCTGGTGTTGTGGCAGAGCAGGAGCCTTGCTTTAAAAGAGAATCCTGCTGTCAGTATGCAAATTTTTGTCAACCATGATTTCTGCCGTTCTCAGCCA